CAGACCAGGCCAGGAGAATGAAAGCCAACACTTGTCAAGCACCTACTGAGTGCCAGACACAGCTCGCAAATTGTTATAGGAACCTTATTAAGTGGAGGCTGTTAGCGACCCCATTTCATGGGTGAGGAAACTGAGCTGAGGCCACAATCCCAGTAAACAACAGATTAATGGCTGGAACCAGGCCCGTCCTGCCCCACAGTCTGAGTGCTGAGTGCCCCTGTGGCCCTTCTCTCCTCAGACCTGTTTCTGGGGGCCCTGTGCAGGGGGAGGGACACTTTAGGGGAGAGAAGAGAGCCCCGGGTTGCAGGGTGGGCGCCAGAGCAGGTGACGTGGCAGAAGATGAATCTAGAAGGAATCTCTCAGGTGGGCTTGGGTGACAGAAAGGCTGAGGGAGGCAGGAGGGGGTCACCTGCTGGGACTCCTGGGTGTCCAGCTCAGTGGTGTCCTCAAGCCGGGGGGAACTAGAGGAGCAGCGAGGTTGAGGGCCACTGTGCATGTCCGGCGGGCAAGCAGACAGAGGGCTCCAGCCCTGCGCTCCATGGGCTTGGCCTCTGCAGGGGAGGGCAGGTGGGGGACAAGGCTGGAAGTGGGGTCCAGGGTGACAGCCAGATGGGGACTTGGGAGGCTGAGTGCTGAGCCCTTTGTTTCACCTCTAGGTGCAGCTGACTCCGTCAGAAGGACAGGCCAGGCCAGACAGTCAGAAAGCCCACACCACTGGTTAGGGCCTGGGCACCGGGAAACCTGGGTCCGCCTCCTACCAAGGGGGCAGGTGGCCAAGCTTCCCCCTCGGGCTCAGCAGCTCACTGGGCCATCATGGAACCTGCCATCAGCGCGGCCCTCCCATGGGCCAGGCGCACCTCACCCCTCCCGTGTGGGTGTCCTGGGGTGCCACAGCATATCACCCCAAACTGAGTGACTCTGCAAACAACAGAAATGCGACCCCTCATGATTCTGGGAGCCGGAAGTCTGACACCAAGCGTCTCTGTGTCTGTCTCTGTTCCTATAAGAACACAAGTCATTGGATTCAGGGCCCACTGCAAATTCAGAGTGGTGTCATCTCGAGATTCTTATCTAGTCACATCTGGAAAGCCTCTATTTCCAATACAGGTCATATTCTGAGTTTCCAAGTGGATACAAATTTAGGGGACATTATCCAACTCATTGCACTATCCTTTCCATAATGCCACGAAGGAGGCCTCCGAATCCCACACTGCAAACGAAGACACAGGCTCAGGAGGTGAAAAGACCGCTGGAGGTCACAGGGCAGGGACACGTGGCAGAGCAGTGTCTCTAACTCCAGAGCCCAACACTCTCCCCTCCACCCCACGGTGCCGTCTGTGTGAAAGATGTGATGTGAGCATGGGAGGCTGGG